GCGTCACTGTCACACTCGAGCGCGCGCACACACCTCCTGCGGCCAAAGACCCGGCGCACTGCTGTGCGGGGTGCGCCAGAAGGGATTTTCGCCCTTCATGCTAAACCCCTTTGCATCCTCAGCGCAATCCAGACCCTCCCTTGCATGTTAGGGCAGTTCTTCCCCGTTTCCAGCAACTTCGCCTTCATCCACTTCCTTGGCCCAAGCTACTTGCTCTGAGCTGGGTAGTCCCAGTGTGCCCAGGCTTGGTGGAAAGGCGGTGCATTAACTGGACATCGCTCCTGGAACTTCGCGTGCACTTGTTCTCTGACCCCAGAGCAGCCCTGCCACCTGATTGCTTGGCATAGTTCACTGTCTAGTAGTCCTTTTGAGTTTCAGGGAGCTGGAGGAGGGATTCAAACCCGGATCTCCGCTTTGAAAACTGCTTCTACTAGCCTCGCATCTCTTGTTCCTTTCCACTTAGGCCTACTCGTCTAGTATCCACCAAGAATCAGATCTGCCCTCTTTGCCCACCTCCTTCCAGATGGACATGCCTGGAAAAGGACTGCCGTACCCTTTAGAGACATTGCCACCCTTCCAGCCCAGATCATTCCAGCTTACAAGCTTGCATGGTCTGTGAGGATGAACCACGCGGATGATCTCCCCGGTGGGTATCAGCTCCACTTGCAGCGCCATTCCTCCCCGTGGAGAGCCAGCCGGCTGAACGCTTGAGCACCGAAGCAAAGCTGCCTGGCAGCCTACTGACTGGCCGCTCTGGAGCCAGGAATCTACGGTCTCACTTGGTTCTGCTTCAACTCCAGCCCCAAGGGATTTGGCTGGTCCAGCTCCTCAGGACACAGCTGGAACAGTCTAGGTCTGATTGGGAGGCCTCTTGGCTGGAGGGTTGAGGCAGGAAGGGGAGGGGTTGAAGGATGGAGGAAATGCCTGTTGTTCCAGGTAACCAGAGGAGCTGATGCGGGTCCCCCATGCGGGGACCCTGGGCTCTAGGTCAAAGGGTAGGAGGACTTTCCTCTTTGCCCCAGTGGCTCCTTGGTTAGGCCTTTCCCACTGCCCAGTCTAATATCAGCTGGACAGCCCAGCGATCACTCCCCTAGCCAGATGACATACCCTCCCCCAAACAATGAGGAACTCTTAGTAGGTTCTGTTCCTCTGGCATGTCCCTACAATTGGACTGCCTGAGAGCAGCAGCTTGCCTTCCTCTCTCCTTTGTTATCTTCTCTTGAACTTCTGGGTTCAAATGATCCTCCTGCCTCAGTCTCCTAAGTGCTAGGACTGCAGGTGTGTCACCCACCCCACTCTCCTTGAGTTTTAGAAGGCCAGGTCTGGCCATGTTGGGCAGGTATTTATTAGCAGTAGGGGAGTAGGAGAGGTGGAAGTTTTGGAGCCATCAGCACTTGAGAGGTTAGTTCTTGGGTTCCTTGGGTTTGCACTACTAGCCCTTTACTTACTTTTCAACTGTACCCTCAGGTTCTCCCTCCTCCCAACCCCGCCCCAATGTTCCTGTTTTTCTTGTTGCTAAATCACAGCTGACATTTTCCTGGCCTGGGACTCAGCTCACCAGTCTCCAGTCATTCCTTATAGGAAACGAGAATGGGGAAGTGGCAGGGGAAACAGACCTTTCCAAAGGGAGAGGCTGGCATGGGAGGGGTAGCTGTCCAATGCGCCCAAGCTCACTGGTTTGGTGGGCAGAGATCTCTCCTGGGCACCTTTCCCTCCCCACAGCTTCACCCGCCCAGGAAAGGCCTGCAAAGCTTCCTTCCTTCCTCTGGGAAGCACATCTAGTCAGGGCAGGCTCATCTCCAGTGGCCACACAATGGCTCTTATCAGCCATGGAGCCAGGCGCTGAGACCCAACACACACCAAGTCTCACATATTTCCTGTTTCCACCCAATGGGTCAGGGGTGGGCCCAGAGCAGCCATATCCTGACTGAGGCAGAGAGGAGGGAGAGCAATCCCCTTTCCCTTTCCGCCTTTCAATCACTGCTGGACTCACCCCTCCCAGTGCAGGAGGGGGCCCTGCACCGAAGGCCCCGGTAGGAATGTGTAAAGTACTAAGTATAGGAAGGACCGAAATGAATGTGTAGAAGAGAAACAGGATCAAGTAGCCAGAGAGTCAGCCCCAGAGCTTCATAACCAGAATGGTGCAGTGGATATATATATTTTTTTCTTTTTTGTAGCAACAGGTTAGGAACAGGTGCATTATTTGTATTTTGATGACAACTGAGACTCCCATGTGCATAAAAGCAAGGAAGGATGGAACCCTGATTTCAATCCAGGTTTTTAGGTCCCATTCCTTTTTTTTTGGGGGGGGGTCCGGTCGTGGGGCCTGAACTCTGGGCCTGGGTGCTGTCCCTCAGCTCTTAAGCTCAAGGCTAGCGCTCTACCACTTGAGCCACAGCGCCACTTCCGGCTTTTTTCTTTTTGCTTATGTGGTGCTGAGGAATCGAACCCAGGGCCTCGAGCATGCAAGGCAAGCGCTCTACCACGGAGCCACCTTCCCAGCCCCTAAGTCCCATTCCTGCATATATTTTTGGTCCTCATTCCCATATGAAGGAGTCATACACACAGTGTAAAAGCCACATTTCTAATTATCCCTCCAAGGTAACAGACAACCATTGCTTGCTAGACACCAGGGAAACTTTTGTCATCGTGGGGCCTGAACTCTGGGCCTGGGCACTGTCCCTCAGCTCTTCAGCTCAAGGCTAGCCCTCTACCACTTGAGCCACAGAGCCATTTCCGGCTTTTTCTGCTTATGTGGTGCTGAGGAATTGAACCCAGGGCCTCACGCATGCAAGGCAAGCCCTCTACCACTGAGCCACCTTTCCAGCCCCAGGAAATTTTTTTTTTTGGAGAGGGGAAATGCTTTTTTGGGGGGAGGGGGAGGGATTGGTCATGGGGCTTTAACTCTGGGCCTGGGTGCTGTCCCTCAACTCTTCAGCTCAAGGCAAGTGCTCTACCACTTGAGCCACAGTGCCACTTCTGGTTTTCTGGTGGTTAACTCAAGATAGTGTCTCATGGACATTCCTGCCTGGGCTGGCTTTGAACCATGATCCTCAGATCTCAGCCTCCTGAGTAAATAGATGTGAGCCACCAGTGCCTGGCAAGAGGGGAATTTTTTTTTTGGGGGGGGTCTGGTCATGGGGCCTGAACTCTGGGCCTAGGCGCTGTCCCTCAGCTTTTCAGCTCAAGGCTAGCGCTCTACCATTTGAGCCACAGAACCACTTCGGGCTTTTTTTTTTTTTGCTTATATGGTGCTGAGGAGTCGAACCCAGGGCCTCAGGAATGCAAGGCAAGCGCTCTACCACTGAGCCACCTTCCCAGCCCACAAGAGGGGAAATTCTTAATACATGTAGTTCCTAAGGTAGAGTGTAGGAGCATAGAGCAATTAGAGTCACTCTTGGTCTGGGGTCACAGAATGGATGTAAAAGTTACAGAACCACCGAGATCTTCTCCTGGGAAGAATATTGGCCACTGGCAGAAGGCAACTGACAGGAGTGGGACTAGGCCATTTTCTCATTGCACCTGGATAATGCTCAAGCTCTTGGTGTCAGAGCCTTTGTCAAAAATATCTTTTTTTTGGGGGGGGTATTTTGACAGTGTCTTTAGCTGAGCCTTCCCTTCAACTCATGATCCTTATGCCTCAGCCTCCCACATGCTGAGATTACTCCAAAATGTCTTGATTCTGACTCCCCTTTCTGCTTAACCCCATACTTCTAGGTCACAGAGGGGTCCAGAGACAGGAGTTTTCTGCCAATGACTCATGTCAAGGGTGGAGCCAGATGAGAATCACTCTGGAAGTCTGTGGCTGCCACTCCTCTACCACCTGTCAACCCTCCATAAAAGGACAAGCTAGGGGCACAGGGCCCAACCAAGTTACAGAAACCAATCTCAGTCTAAAGAATTCTCTCTGCTTGGGCCTTAGAACTTCTGGGTCAGACTACATGCAGAGCGTGGTGTGCTAGTGGGATGACCCCTTCATTCTATCCACTTGGTCACACTGCTTCTGTGGAAAGCAGGGATTCCAGACCCTCTACTTATCCCTCATGGGGACACACTATGATATGCCTAGACTTATGGAACCCATTGTTGCTTGTGCCATCCAGTCAGTGGAACCTGTACAAATACTTCCCCCTCCTAGGCAGCCTGAGGCCCAGGATGGTGTGACAAGAATGCAAGCCTGTGCCAGATGGGGCATGTGCCTGGCAGGACTGCTTGGGCGGGAACAGGAATCTGTATGTGTGTGGAAAATCAAGAAATAAAATGTCAGTTGGACAGTTCTTCCTGTATCTGGAGGGCTGTTCTCAAATCTTCACTGCTGACAAACTAGTTGCTTTCACTCACATCTCAGCAACAAAAACCTGTATTTAAGTGCCAATTTCAGAGATCTGGCCTAGAGAAAGCAAAGGGAATCTGGCTGAGCTCCCCCTGGAAGTGTGGGTTACTTGGCTCCTTCCTCAGGGGCAGGGCCCGGCTGGGCTCCTAGTAATCCTGGCAGCAGTTCAAGCAGAGTAGGCTGCCAGTTCTAGCCTCCACCCTGGCTTCACTCATTCCTAGTCCAGCTTAGATTCGTGGTTCATCCTCATCCAGTGAATTGTCCTTCAGAAAGAAGCGAAGCGGGATCTGTAGGAATAAAATAAGTAGCAGAAGGGGGAAGTGAAGGTCTTTCTCTTTTTTTTTTTTTTTTGTTGGTTGTAGGGCCTGAACTCTGGGCCTGGGTGCTGTCCCTCAGCTCTTCAGCTGTAGACCAGTGCTCTACCACTTGAACCTCAGCCCCACGTCTGGCTTTTTCTGTTTATGTGGTGCTGAGGAATCGAACTAAGGGCTTCATGCATGCAAAGCAAGCACTCTACCACTGAGCCAGCTTCCCAGAGCCGTGAAGGTCTTTCTCTATACCTTGTCAATACCCCAACTGCTCATAGGTATGAATTCCTGGGGCTCTGGCCTCAGGAAACAAAGGATGGATTCAGTTCCTCAGTAATACCTTCCCCTTCTCCAACCATCATCCCTTACCTTGAAGGGTTTGCTTATCCCCACTACAGAGTTCCTACTGTTACTGTAGTAACAGAGGAGAAACTCATCCTCAGTCTTAGGGATATCGTTGATGTTGATGTATACCTGTAAAAGAGGAATGATAGAAACAACATCAGCTCTAGGGTCCTGCACTTTCCTGGCTTAGTGACAAGTTATATAACTCTTCTTCCAGAAGACAAGACTATCAGGGCAAGCCCAACTCACAGATGTACCTGATTCAGGTTGTCGCTCATGGAGACCTGGTTGTCCCCAGCCCAGACATAGGACACATAGTCATAAATGTGGCGCATTCCCACCTGTGAGGAGATCAGATGAGAGAATCAGTGGTTGGGGAGGACATGGACCTAAGGAAGTCCTAAGGAGAGGGTGGTCTTACTGCTGGGGCTGGCCACCCTACTATGTTTCCTTTTCCTTTCTCTTCCAGGACCTAGGTAGACAAGTAGCCCTGGGGCAGGTGAAGGTGAGTTTTTCAGTGTCTTGCCCAGTTCCTGTAAGTCCCCAGAAAGGATAAGCAAGCGGACTGTGGTTGATGGATTCATTGCTTTGCCCACATCACCTTGTATAGTCCAATCCAGTCCCAGCAGCTGCTGAGGAAGTCTGGGGAGGAGGAGTAGCTGATCAACATGTCATTTTCCATGGTCCACAGGCTCTCAGGCATCATGGTTATCAGTGGAACAGACATCAGTGGATTCAACTACACATAGAGGGTGGAGGTTAGGTTGAATTCTTGTAGTACCATTCCCTCTGGGGCAACTGTTTCCCATTGTGACTACCTGGTATGGTGGTCGTGGTAGTAGTAGTAGTGGTGGGGTTCCCAGGGGAATGGGCAAGAACTCCACTAGGCTATCCTAGCTGAACAAGGGCCAATGGTTTATTAGGGGAAGTTGCTCTGCCAGTAGAATGGGGCTGAGAGCCAGGTGGGCAACACAGGGAGCCCAGTGATGAGGGTGGCAGTGGAGGGGGAAGATGTAGTTGCTCAGAGGCTTAGAAAAGAAGCATGGCAGCTTGACTACCTAGGCCTGGAAGAAAAGAGAATAGGAAACATATAATGGTGGCCAGCCCTAGGTCTCTAAGATTTCTGACTCAAAGACCCAAATTCAGAACAGCTAGGAAAATGTAGAAAGGCACAATATTGTAAGACAAAGCAAAAGTAAAGTCTGGTGCCAGGCGCTGGTGGCTCACGCTTATAATCTTAACTACTCAGGAAGTTGAGATTGGAGGATCACAGTTCAAAGCCAGCCCAGCCCTGAGACTCTTATCTCCAATTAACCACCTCCATCCAATTAACCACTAGAAAACTGGAAGTGGTACTGTGGCTCAAAGTGGTAGAGCTTTGAGTGAAATAGCTCAGGGACAATGGCCAGGCCATGAGTTCAAACCCCACAGCCAACTTAAAAAAAAAAAAAGTGGGGGCTGGGAAGATGGCTCAGTGGTAGAGCGCTTGCCTTGCATGCCTGAGGCCCTGGGTTCGATTCCTCAGCACCACATAAGCAAAAAGAAAA